CTCTATGGGACGCGAGGCGGATGAACAGCGCTTGTTTCTCCTCCAGCTACCCCGCATTAGAGTGTCTTGCTTCCGTTAAAACACACCGGTATGATCCTGATTTTCCGTGAGAAATAAAAACCGTTGCACCCCGTTCTTTTACACACTGCTGACTGACTGAACTGTGAGACACGCGCGGGCAGCAGCTTTATAAACTAGCCGCTGTGCGCAACCTGCTCTGATTGGGCGGATCATCTGCTGACTCCGCCTACTACACCTCAGATGGAGCTGCGGCGAGAGGAAGAAGTGTGGGCGCAGAAATTAATTAAATACTTTAATCTACAGCATTTGTAACTGTAATTAATTAAAGTATCAATATCATTGCTTTTTATAGTAATTAATAAATTAATAAATATGTGTGTTTGAATGAATGAATAGGATTAAATAAGTATATTGATTGCAGATAACAGAATAATAAAGATGATCAATGATAATGATGATAAATAATACATGAATTAATATTAAATGTATAAATGTCTAGTGAAGAATAATCGATGTAATGATAAAATCATATATTCATAATAAATAATACATTTATTCTTTAAAAATGTAAACATTAAGTTAATCAGTAGATGATGATGATTAATAAATTATAAACGTGTTTGTAAAATAATATGAATAATGATATAATAACATATTCGTAATAATAATGAATACATAATGTATTGTAAATTTATGAATGTTAAATTGATGTCTAATAAAAATGTATATAAATAAGGATTAAATAATATATTAATAATAAATAATACATTTATGCTTAAATACAAATTAAGCGGTTCAACAGATGATTATGGTCATTTATAATTCATTTATAAATATTAAATTAATGTCTATTAAATGTAATATGAATAATGATTAAATACAATAATAATAATAAATAATACATTTATTTTTTTGTGTAAAAATTAAGCGGTTCAGCTGATGATGATGATAATTAATAACAAATTATTAAATATTAAATTAATGTCTATTAAAGATTTATGTTGATGATGAAATAATATATTATTAATAATTAATAAAATTATTCTTTAATGTAAAAAATTACATTGATCAATAGATAATGATGATGATGATGATGATAATGATTAATAAATTAATAAATATTAAATTATTGTGTAATGTAAAATAGAATTAATAATCATAAAATAATAAATTCATAATAACAAATGTATTCTTTACTTAAATTAAGTTGATCAATAGATGATGATGATGATGATTAATAATAAATTAATAAATATCAATTTAATTTTAACAAAAAAATTATATTAATAAATATAAAATAATATATTAATAATAAATAATACATTTATTCTTGATTTAAATAGATTAAGTTGCTCAAAAGATTATGATGATGATTAATAATAATACATTAATAAATATTACATTTATGCGTGATGAAAAATTATATAAATAATTATAAAGTAATATATTCATAATAAACAATACATTTATTTTATTAATGTAAAAATTAAGCAGTTAATAATGATGATAATTAATAATAAATTAATAAATATTAAATTATTGTCTAATAAAAAACATACATTAATAATAATGATGAAATAATACATTCATAATAAATAATATATTTATTCTTTATTTAAATAAAGTTGATCAATAGATGATGATGATGATGATTAATAAATATTATATTAATGTGTATAGTAAAATAATATTAATAATGATAAAATACTATATTCATAATAAATATTATATTTATTTTATTAATGTAAGAATTAAGCAGTTTAACAGATGATGATGATAATTAATAGTTAATTGATAAATATTAACTTTTTTTAAAGATAAATATTAATTTATATTAATTATGTAAATTTAAATTTAAATTAATAAAGATAAAATAATATATTAATAATAAATAACATATTTATTTTTTTATGTAAAAAAGTTAATTGATCAATAGATGATGATGATGATGATGATGATGATGATTAATAATACATTGATAAATATTTAATGAATGTGTATAGTAAAATATTATAAATAATGCTAAAATAATATATGCATATTAAATAATACATTTATTTTATTAATTTAAAATTAAGTGGTCCAACAGATGATGAAGATGATTATTAATAATATAATAATAAATATTAGATAATGTATATTAAAAATAATATTAATAATAATAAAATAATATATTAATAATAAATAATACATTTATTCTTTAATTAAATAAACTGTCAACGTGATGATGATGATGATGATGATGATGATGATGATGATGATGATGATGATGATGATTCCATATTAAATTAATGTGTAATGAAAAATTTATACTAATAATAATCAAATAATTTATCAATAAAAATAACACATTTATTCTTTAATTAAATAAATTGTCAACATGGTGATGATGATGATGATGGTGGTGGTGATGATGATGATGATGATGATGATGATGATGATGATGATGATGATGATGGTGATGATGATGATGATTATTATTATTCCATATTAAATTATTGTGTAATGAAAAACTTATATTAATAATGATAAATTAATATAATAATTATAAATAACATATTTATTCTTTAATTAAATCAATTGTCAACATGATGATGATGATGATGATGATGATGATGATGTTTAAATAATATAATAAAAATGGAGTATACAGAAAATGGTCAATAAATAATTTGTTTATCTATTCTGAAGCATGCTGGGCTGTGCTTTAACCTTTTTATTATCATATTGTCAGGATTATGTTAAATGATGCCCCTTGTGGGATTAATAATGTTGTTCAACTCATGAGAATTTATTTATTTTCTGTAATTAATATAAAGTAAATAATAATACTTGATTTAAAGCAGCTGAACTGGTAAATGTCTCTGATTTACATATTTATGCAGTGTTTGTGAAAAGCAGATTTGCACTGAAGTCAGCAAATTTCACCTCAATCCATCTTTCTGTCCCACACACACACACACACACACACACACACACACACACACACACACACACACACACACACACATACATACATACAGAGTAGTTAAGGTAATAATAACATTGTGACAAATAATAAGTATTTAATTTAAGATTATGTTTGTTTATTGATTGATTTTCCTTTGGCTTAATCCCTTATTTATCAGGGGCCAACCACAGCGGAATGAACCACCAACTATTCCAGCATATGTTTTACACAGCGGATGCCCTTCCAGCTGCAACACAGCACTGGGAAACACCCACACACTCCCACATTCACATACACACTCATGCACTACGGCCAATATTTTAACCCGCGCCAACCCAGAGAGAACATGCAAACTCCACACAGAACTGAACCAGCCGGGACTCGAACCATGCTGTAAGGCTACAGTGCAAACCACTGAACCTCTGTGCTGCCTCACACACAGATAGAGTCAGTGTAATAATTCTCTTGTGCAACATGTTGATGTGAGTCTCTGGAGTGATCAGGGACGCTTGGTTTGTTTACCGCGGTATGAAGCTCTCCGGGATTAAACTCCATCTCGCCATTTACTGCAGGCCTTCAACACACACGCACACACTCCGCTTGAAGATGTTGATGCTGAAGGCGGATATATCTTTGATCACACAGGCTACCTCTGATTAAACCGATGTTTATCCTCTTTAATATTTACAAGTAGAGCGGTAAAAACAAGATGTTTTCAGGAAGCTTACATGCATTTATTCCCCCGCCTGATTTCACATTCTAGACACAAACTCATTTAGCAGTCTGCTTTTATAAAGCTGCGGGGCTATCAGTCATTTAGGGAGGGGCTATCTGTCCTTTAGGGCGGGGCTACCAGTCATTTAGGGAGGGGTTATCTGTCCTTTAGGGCGGGGCTATCAGTCATTTAGGGAGGGGCTATCTGTCCTTTAGGGTTGGGCTTTCAGTCATTTAGGGAGGGGCTATCTGTCCTTTAGGGTGGGGCTATCAATCATTTAGGAAGGGGTTATCTGTCCTTTAGGGTGGGGCTATCAGTCATTTAGGGAGGGGTCATCTGTCCTTTAGGGTGGGGCTTTCAGTCATTTAGGGAGGGGCTATCTGTCCTTTAGGGGGGGGCTATCAGTCATTTAGGGAGGGCCTATCTGTCCTTTAGGGTGGGGCTATCAGTCATTTAGGGAGGGGTTAACTGTCCTTTAGGGTGGGGCTATCAGTCATTTAGGGAGGGGTCATCTGTCCTTTAGGGTGGGGCTTTCAGTCATTTAGGGAGGGGCTATCTGTCCTTTAGGGGGGGCTATCAGTAATTCAGACCTTTAGGGTAAGGCAATCAGTCCATTAGGGCGAGGCTATCTGTCCTTTAGGGCGGGGCTATCAGTAATTCAGTCCTTTAGGGTAGGGCAATTAGTCCATTAGGGCGGGGCTATCAGTAATTTAGGGTAGGGCAATCAGTCCATTAGGGCGAGGCCATCAGTAATTTAGGGCGGGGCTATCAGTCATTTAGGGTAGGGCAATCAGTCCATTGGGGTGGAGCTATCAGTAATTTAGGGAGGGGCCATCAGTCATTCAGGCAGGGGTTATCTGTCCTTTAGGGTGGGGCTATCAGTCATTTAGGAAGGGGTTATCTGTCCTTATGGGAGGGGCTATCAGTCATTTAGGGAGGGATTATCTGTCCTTTAGGGTGGGGATATCAGTCATTTAGGGAGGGGATATCTGTCCTTTAGAGTGGGGCTATCAGTATTTAGGGAGGGGCTATCTGTGCTTTAGGGTGGGGATATCAGTCATTTAGGGAGGGGTCATCTGTCCTTTAGGGTGGGGATATCAGTCATTTAGGGAGGGGTTATCTGTCCTTAAAGGAGGGGCTATCAGTCATTTAGGGAGGGGTTATCTGTCCTTTAGGGTGGGGATATCAGTCATTTAGGGAGGGGTTATCTGTCCTTTAAGGCGGGGCTATCAGTCATTTAGGGAGGGGTTATCTGTCCTTTAAGGCGGGGATATCAGTCATTTAGGGAGGGGATATCTGT